GGGGGGGGGGGGGGGGGGGGGGGGGGCGCTCTGCCATGAGGAAGTTCGGCTTAAAGACACATCCCAGAGGCGTTTCTGGTACCAAAATGAGTTTCTGGTCCCCACCTGTCGTTTTGCTCCTCAGCATGGCTTCCTAAAAACGCTGCAGGATTTCTCAAACCTGCATGAATGAGTCAAAGCAAGGCTTTGGGCATGTTTTTTATGAGAGTATAACATTATAACATGAAATAAAACTCAAAAAAGTTGATGTTACATGATATTGCCCCTTTAATTTTACAACATTTGAGTTAAATATTATGGTAGTAGCTGAGAGTCATTCACAACACAAACTCCAAGGTCCTATAAGATATTGCAACAGCGCATGAGATTTTACATAAAGCTATTGTCAGGGTTTGAAGAAAATGGCTATTTCTCAACATAAGATGCAAGTTTTTTACACTCCTTCAGGACATAATTTATTAGAATTCAGTAYTACATCCCAATTAAAAGAACGAGAAAACAGAAATTTGTTGAAAACAACTAAGTTGAGAAAACTTTGTCATATTTTGAGTGGAAAAAAATACATGCAACGCTTTACTGACTGAGATATGATGAAAGGCAAGTCCATATTTTCGAACACATACTTATTTTAATTAGAACTCTGGGAAGTAGCTTTCATCTTTCCATCTTTTCATGTTCATTTCATTAGGATGGTAAAAACATATCCCACAAGGTGTATTGAGTTGACACTAACCTTACGATGAACCAGCAGGATGTTCCAGGGTAAACCAAAGGTTTATTTAACTCCTGTAGAATTTCAATTAAAACAAAGGAAAAAAAAGAAAAAAATAGAAATAGGTCACATGAATATTTGTCATTTGGCTTCAATTACTGTCTTCYCAAGCAAAATTTTCAATACAGCGGCCATTTTTTCCTCGTCATTCAAATATCCCAGCTGATAGAAGTGCACAGTGAAGCAGAATAATGACAGAAAATGATTCGTTTTCATCAGCGTAAGTGCAGGCTTTATATAAAAGAGCTCCGGGACAATATGAAGCATTTGCTTGTGAAGTGTGATTCCTGTAATGTTGCAGCTCAAAATGACTGCATTCAGTCTCTGTAAAATTCTATTTAAATAAGAATCCATGTTGCAGTAAAYAAAGGGTTCAGAGTCTTCGAAGAGGTAACAGATTGTAATTACTTCAGGTTGTTCGAGTGGGAGAGGTTTGTGACTGTGCACAAAACTGCAGGGGTTTTGAGATTTTGGAAGCCAGTAAAAAACATTTGTCTGTTGATCATTTTTTTAACTTTATTTTGAGAACATATTTTTTAAAAAGAAAAATTTAACATCTAATTTTCTTAATTTTGTTAACATGTCTTTGTTAATAACTGATTGTTGAAATAATCTGAACAAATCGGCAAAATAAATGTATGTCTAAGGCAATATTTTTTATGATACAGTAGCTTTATGTTTAATATTTCAACACATTGTATATGAATATTTAAACCAGGGCCAGTTCTAGACATTTGGTATACTAGCCATTATAAGTGGAGCCCCTTGTGTAGTTTTCTACATTTCTTCTCTTTACATACACAAACCAAATTGATAGGGGTGCAATGATACAGAAAATTCACATGGTTTGATGTTTTAGTCTCACGTTTCAGTATTTTTTGATACAAAAAAGAGACATGCCCTTCTTAAATTGTAATTTTTTGAAATTAATTATGTACATTTGTTTAAATAGCACTGTTTTAGGAATGAGTATTGACTGTTAATATTTGGTGTTATAATATTCCCCACTTTGTAAGCCTCTGGGAACGTCTATGATTCTTTGATTCCAGTAAAAGACTGTTTTCCTTTGATTGCCACGGAAATGCTTCAGTGACCTGATAAAACCAGATTCATTTCAGCCCAGGGACTTGAAACATTTGAAGCCCCCCCCACATCCCCTACATCCATCAGCGCGCCTTTCATCAGTTGGATCAAATTTCAAAATCCCACAGTGGAGGTCTTTGGAAAGATCCAATAATTTTTAATATCAGCTGCTAAATCAGCCAGACACACTGAAATGTGAGCTGAAGAGCTTCGTTGCTGCTCAAAGTGAAAGAGTTTAGGATTATTTTTCATTTTGTCGCCTGTTGATAAGAAACAAGAGAAATACAGCTTGATTTTTTTTTATCCCCCCGCCCCTCACTTGGCTTCATTTCATTCTTGATGTGTTTCTCCATGGGGATAAGAGGCCATGAATACACTAAAGTCTGCTTGAGGAAATGTGAGCAGGAAGCATGGAGACGATCCAGTTAAGCATGAGTGCTTACTTTTGCTGCAGAATCTTTCTGTGTGCTGTTGATATAAAACAATGGCACAGTGGGCTCCATGGGTGAGTTAAATAAAGGAAACCATAACTGCTGATGTTTAGACATGACTAGCTTTAAACAAGAAGCAGATCATGGTGCTAACATTAACAATGCATTGGGCTAATAGGTGAGGAAATATTTTTGCTGGAGGAATGATTCTATTTATTACAACAAGCTAAAAAGTCAGCAAAATGAACATATGCCATCCAGGTTTATGAATTTCCATTTGTTTGAAACTCATCTTAGCCTTTTTATTGTTCGCCACAAAAAGGCGACATGAAAATGAAAGGTTTTGCCCATGTGTGTATGAGAATCAACATATTCTACCGCAGTGAACTGAGCCTAAAAACACCTCATGGATGACAATAATTCAGTCAGAGTCACACATAGATGTAAGGATTGGTGCGATTTTTCTGTAGACAGGGGCATCACACTCCTATGCCTCCCGGGTAAGGTCTATTTAAGGGTCCTGGATAGAAGGGTCCCTCATATGGTCAAATCTCAGATTCAGGAAGATTGGTTACTGGCTTCATCAGATCTTGATCTCCAGCTCTCGCTGGAGCGGTCTGCAGCTGAGTGTGAAGCAGCCAGGATGAGGATCATGCCTCCAAATCTGAGACCGTGGTTTTGAGCCGGAAAAGGTTAGCATGTCTCCAGGTCGGGGAGGAGGTCCTGCCCCAAGTGGAGGAGTTTAGTGACAAGCGGATTGGTGCTGYGTCTGCAGTGATGCAGGCGTTGTACCGGTCAGTCGTGGTGAAGCAAGAGCTGAGCCAGAAGGTGAAGCTCTCGATTTAAGGCTCCAGCATGCTGCTGCCGAACTGCTGAAATGGTGCCGAACTGTCGCAGTTTTATGACAAAAATTGGTTCACTTCTGTTTGCATTGTCGACATTTTGGCATTTCTTGTCGCAACCCGCGGGTCGAACTTTTCACCCCCTCCCCCCTCCACATGAGAACACATACGAACTGTATGGTGTGATTGGTCAGAAGTTCGTGGGAGTGTTTATGTTGAAAGCTCAGACGCTGCATTTGCTTCAACCACTCGCTTAAAAAAAAAACGAAGAAAAAAAAGATTGCTTCCAGAGCCGACTGTTGTACCAGGAAGCAGCAATTTTAAAAGTTTTAGTCAAACGGCCAAAAACTCATAAATGGGGATAAAAAACAGACATTTTTCATGGTGGAATCTGCCTGATAAAAACTTTGGAGCTTAATCCGAGACCAGTTTGACAATAAACACCATCGAGCGAGCTGCAGACTTTTTTTTTTTTTTTGCATTGGACTCCCCCGGGAAGGAATCCCATGCAGTGACGTATGCTGCAGCGGGATGGGTTTCCCGAGGAGCTCGACTTGGGGTGTCTCAGGAACTATGAAAGGTCAGTGTGAAAACGAACGCCGAACAACCACGTGACGGCACGTCGACCGGTCGTTTGCCGAGTGACCATACTGCAGGCTTTACAGGTTGGTCTAAGTTCCTACCCTCATCTATGGTCACGAGCTTCGGGTAGTGACCGAAAGAACAGGATCACAGATACAAGCGGCTGAAATG